GGAGCTGCTCTGGGGCTCGGCGCTAGGGGACACCAGGCCCGGGGGCGTGGAGGACTCGTAGCCCGAACTGGCGGCTGGGGAGGACTCGGAGCCCTGCGGGGAGGACTCATGGACCTGCAAGACAAAAGCCGGGAGGGGGGACCAGAGGGGACTGGGTGTGAGTGTAGCTGCTGTGAGGCCAGCCCCCCGCCCCCCGGGGACCCTTCCCACCCGGCGGCCTAGCCCTCCCTCCCGGGGCCCGCGGGGGTACCTTCATGTGCTTCCGCAGGGAGCTGGGGTGCGTGTAGGACTTGTCGCACATCTTGCAGAGATAGGGCTTGTCCGAGGTGTGGACGTGCATGTGCTTCTTCCGGTCGCTGCTGTTGGCGAAGCGCCGGTCACAGCCCTCGAATTCACACTGGAAGGGCTTCTCTCCTGTGGACGCAGACAGACGCGCTCAGTGGTGGCCACCCCAAACCCTGGGAGCCCTCGCCCCGGCTGCCCCAGGCCAGAACCTCCAAAGTGGTGTGTTGGAGGGAGAAGAAGGGAGAAGGAGGCTGAGTCTCTCCAACAGGTCGGATCCTCTCTCCCGCCCCAAGGGAAGATCCAAAATGCTTTTTTTTTGTCCCCCCGCCCCTACACCTTCTCCAACTAACACACCTGACCGTTTATTAGTAATTTGCCTATCTTCAGGCTTAGAGCTTGCGCACATAGCTATCAAATATGGGGTAACTTCCCGAGGCCCGGCCCGCCTTCCTCGGGGGCTTCTTGGATTTCCCAGCTCATAGCAAGTTGGTCTCGCCATGGAGAAGCTGTTATTATGACAAAATATTTGGGGCATTATGAGAATCACGCAGGCTGCGGGCTGCTGTCTGTCTCTGCTTGGGGCCAGCAGGCAATTACATTTGGAGTTGCTGTGTGTTGTCTGAGGCCCGGGACTGTGGATAGAGCCTGAGCCAGTATTTTTCATCCAAAATTCGGCAGATTCAATTAACCAGAATTCCAGTATCACACGCCCCCCCCCCTTTCTCCAATCTTTTAAAAACAATCTGGGAGGGAAAGATAAATATAAAAGGAAAGGCAGCGTTCGAATAACTGAGGAGAAATACATGCTGCGAGGCTTAGGGGCTGAGGTAAGGGAAACCTCTGAAAATATCCCTGTTTAATTTTCTCGCGATGCGGCCTCCTGTGGCCGGGATTCCAAACGCTGGGAGTCATTTAGAGGTGTGAGAACTCAAACACTGCTCCACTTGGAAAGGGGACCATTTAACGTGAAATTCCATTAGCACCTAAATTGTTGTGTGTGTGTGTGTAAAAGACATCCGCTCAGATACAGGACTCAAAAGCGAGCATTTCATGCAAATACATTTCTCAAATTTTAAACCTTGTTAAAAGCTTGTCTCGCACCTCCACTCCCTCCCTACCCAAAAGAGAACAATAGGCCGCTGGCGTATCCCCACTCCGGAGTAAATATTGACGGGGGAAGTTGCTAAAACATTTGGCTTTCTTTAGGAAATCGTCTGGCACGGTTTTGGCTGAGACCTGGTCCTAGATGAATAATCTATGAAGCGGGAGGAGCGTTCCTCCGCGGCTCCCTCTTCCCACGCTACGCTATCGCCCCGAGCAGCTTGGGGGTTCTCGCGGCCCGGGGTGTGGGTCCGAGTTAGGAATCGCAAACCCTCTGGTGCCCATTAGAGAAATTTCACAAACGGCTGCGAAACCACCGTAAAGTCCCCACGACTCACCCTCAAGATTGGCTTTAAAAACACTTTAAAAATGAGAAACGCTTTACAGCCCCAACTCACACCAGAATCACGTAATGGGAAACAGTCCTCTCGGGAAGGGCGTTTGGATCCGGAGGGGGAAAAAAAAAGAATGGGAAAACACACACGAGTCACTCCAGCTCAGACCATACACTCCGGGCAGAAAAGCACATCCACACCAGCTGCCAAAGCCCTCGCCAGGCTCGCTTCCCAGGCTCCGAGTTAGAACGCAGTTTCACCTCGTGCGTTCTCTTCTGGTGGGAAATTATTAACCGTGGCTGAGCCAACGAAGCAGTTGCATCACCCCGAGCATACATCTGATGTGATTCCTGGTCGTTTTAAACTCGATTTCCGCAGATGGAAAAAAAAAATCCCCAGCCCAATAATACTTTCATCTCCAACAAAAACATGCCGCTGGCTCGCTCGCTCGCTCGCACAAAAACATCTCCTGTCCCAGGGCCTCGGCTGGCTGTCGGCGCCCGGCATCCGCACACACGGAACACACACACATACACACACACTCCTCTCCACACGCACACAGCTTGTGTCCACTTCCCCCGTGGCGCCTCGCCCCGCTCCCTGTCCACGGTTACCTGTGTGTGTCCTTTTGTGGATCTTGAGGTTCTCGGAGCGCGCGAAGACCTTGCCGCAGCCCGGGAAGGGGCAGGGAAAGGGCTTCTCGCCCGTGTGCACGCGGATGTGGTTGACCAGTTTGTATTTGGCCTTGAAGGGCTTGCCCTCGCGCGGACACTCCTCCCAGAAGCAGACGTGGTTGCTCTGCTCGGGGCCGCCGACGTGTTCCACAGAGACGTGGGTCACCAGCTCGTGCATGGTGCTGAAAGTTTTGTTGCAGCTCTTCTTAGGGTTGCTCAGCTGCTCCGGGTCGATCCACTTGCAGATGAGCTCCTGCTTGATGCACTGCTGCCGCATGTAGCGGAAAAAGGCACCGGGGTGGTGGTGGTGGTGATGGTGGTGAGCTGCGGCCGCTGCCATGTTCATACCCATGTTCATATTCATGGGGCCGTACTGGTTGTGGAGTTGCGCCGCCGAGTAGGGGTCAGTCCGAGGGCTGGCCACTTGGCGGTATTGCTCTGAGCGCCCAAACACCTCGCCCGGCAGCCCAAGGCGCATCTGCCCGTTAAGCACATTCTGCGAGCCGTGCGGCCCGTGCTGCTCCGGGAGGCCGGGGAAGAGGAGGTGGCCCTGTGCGTCAGAGTGCGCGTGGTGCAGGCCGCCGGCGCCCGGCCCGAAGAGCCCGTGCTGCCCGCCGCCCGGCGCCGAGTCGCCGAAGCCGCGGCTGCGAAACAGGAAGTCCCGGGTGGAGTTAAAAGGCGGCCCGGAGTAGGAGCCAACGTGCGCGGCGTGGGGTCCAAGTGCGGCGGCGGCGGCGGCAGCCGCCGCGGAGCCGGGATAGGCGCCGGGGCCCTGCGACGTGAACGCCGAGCTCTGGCCCGGGGACAGTTCGTGCGCGCCGGGGTTCAGCTTGAAGGCCCCCATGTGCGCGGCGGCCGAGTCCACGAAGCCGTTCTGCGCGGCCGCCAGGCTCAGTTCGCGGTCTTGCATTTCGGCGGCCGCCGCCGCCGCCGCCGCGGCCGAATGGTGATGGTGGCGCGCGAAGCTGCCCACCCCGATGGCCGGGAACTGCGGCCCCGCGTCCAGAAGCATGGCCAGCACGCCCGCCCGCCCCGCCGACCCCGGCGAGCCTCGCGCTAACGCGCCGCCTCAGGTCCTTCTCTCCCGGTCCGTGAGGTTGAGTCGGGAGGCCGCCGGGCTCCGGGGCGCGCAGGCGGCGGTGGTAGCGGCGGCTGCAGTCCCAAGAGCCGCGCTCGTGCGCCCGCCGCCTCCGCCGCCGCCTGGATCTGCCTCCGGCAGCCGGGCACCGAGCGAAGACGCGGAGAGGAAGAGGAGGAGGCGGCGGCGGCGGAGGCGCGGGAGGAGGAGGAGGAGGAGGTGGAGGA